TGGCGGATTATTGACGTCATACCGCGGTTTATTTGTTGATTCTCTCTCGTTTCTCTTTCGGCTCAAAAATAGCTCAGGTGGCCCACTTGGGAGAACACCTCCTACTCATGTCTGCCTACGGACCCTAGATATATAAATCAGCCCCTATCGGCGAGACACCGGTTTGTCGAATACACCAAATCGGTCATAAGTATCGAATATTCCCCCAGAGAGGGCGCCACTTCCTTTATTTCTCGGGATCGCAATCTTTTCTCAGACATGTGAATGAAGGTCAAAACGCTGATCCCTTGGATGTCGCCCAAGCATTTAGATGGGAGTCTGTAGATGGGAGATATTTATCTCAAGCTCTGGACCACTCTCCCGCACCTCTCACCCGTGAAGGACGTTCCGGTTGCCCGGTCTGGTTACCTTCACAGCTGGGACGGGTTTAGCTCCTGTAATGCCCGTGAGCAAGGCACCTCACCCCCATTACTACACATGTAAAAATGGGTCAAACTCTAAGTCACCCTTAACAAAGAGCTAGTTTTGCAAGGTAAAGTACCTCTAAAGGCACCAGTGTGATTTTGAAAACTAATTTGGTTACACACACACACACACACACACACACACACACACAATGGGGACTCTCCATTCATTTCTATGGGGAAAATTCTAATCCCGACCTGAGGACCTGAACCCCTACCCAGCCCTAACCTTAACCATAAGTAGCCAAACAAAATACGAGACTTTTGGCATTTTTAGTTTTTTGATTGCAGTCGCATATCTTTGTGGGGACCTGAAAAATGGTCCTCACAATGTAATATAAACATAATACAAACAGACACACACATAAAGCAAGGAACAATGAGAGCAAATAGATTTGAAAAAAGGTCTGTTCAAGCTGGGCAGTAATGCCATTGACTGGTTGTTAGCATGTGGACAGTTCTGCCATTTCTGAGCTTGTGAGCAGATCCCAAGACATGGTGATCCGCTGACCAGCTCACAGTGTGGCGGTGTTTCCCAGCTGGGTCTGAGCGAAATGAAGATGTGCACACACACCCCAGTCCACAAGGGGGCAGCATACATGTTCGGTTGGATAAAGTCAACTCACTAGCAGAGCGGTTAGGAGGCTGCAGGTGGCTGAATGGCCGAATCCCAAACCAGACAAATTTAAAACCCAGTGAATCACCACCAAATATGTCGTCTCAAATGCAAGCGAGGAGCAGCATGGTATTTTGGTGCAAGAGGACTCTGTGGATGACTTCTACAAGCCGCGGAGGACCCACGATGGTGCCCAGAACTGCAACCTTCCCAGCATTCCATGTGGCTGTAAGGGTGCTCAAATGAGAAGTCTAAGAAAAAAATCTGAGGAAGTAGGACTATGTAAAAATAAATTAAATTAATTTAAAGTGTAAAACAAAAAGTATCTGATTAACTTTGCTTGTCCTCTCCTGGTAAGCTCCTCTGTTGTGCTGTAATCCCTGCAGGACAGAACGACACGGTTAAACTCACAGATAAACCGCTGCCCCTCACTCAGCCGTGGGCAGCTCCGCTCTGGGTTTTCCTTCCGACTTCTTCCTTATTCCAAAATTACTCCCCCACTGTGCAGTGGAATTAGGTGGCGACCTAACATAAAGATGAAGGTAAACAACCTGGAACAGCATGGTGACAAGACAAGACGTCGGATGCAGACGTGTAAACAAGCAAATCAGCAGTGGTGGAAAAAAACCACCAAATTCAGGCCAGTTTGTACCATTTGATGACAAAAAAGTGTCACAGAATGTGTTTCTGTACCCGGCTGACATGAATGTTTATGGTTTTTAAGGCATCAATAATGAGTGGGATCAGATGACCTTTCAGAAAGCGGGGGACAGGCTGCAGCAGCAGGACTCAGAGGGGCCGGAAATGGACCAGACAGCCGAGCGCACAGTCATGTGATCAAGCATTCGGGCTGTCATGGACTGCAGGGGGCGCCGATGAGTCACAATAACAGCGATCACAGGAGCTCTGAGAGAAAGTGTCTGAAAGGAAGTGACCAGACCAAAGAGAGAAACATCTCACGTTAAGATGGGAGCACAATGACTGGGGCCATTAAAAGTCTACTATGTCATTATCGCCCCTGTTACACTGAGGGATGCAGGATTTGAATTTACATGCATGTATGGTTTTCCATCCCCTTGATCATCTATCTTATGAGCTACATGCCCTGGATGACCAGAGAGCTGTGGTGGGAGCTGCAGGAGACGGTGAGGTCACTCTTAGGGGCCCATCGCCCAAGCTCAGGACCAGGACACGCACACCCAAGCAGTTTTGGGGAAGTTACTCACAGAAGTAATCCATTACAGACAAAGGTGGAATGTCCAGGTCCAGAAAGTACAAATCTAGACCAAGGTTTTGTTTCAACCAACCAGCTGAGTATAAAGAGTTGCAGAGTGCTCAACTTGTTGTTTGATAGGCAGGTGATTGGATTGGTCTGAACAGGCATGAGCTTTTGTTCCATTTTAATTCTTGCATCAATTGCTTTGGGCTGTATTACTGAGGACACCTGGGAAATGGAGTTTTTTCCCCCCAGATCCAGTCATGGAATCCGCAAAGGATGCCAATGGCCATTTGATGTCCTGCATCGGTCTGGACAAGATAATAAAATTCTGGGAAAGAGGCACCACCTTAGGCACTAGGGCAGGAGGTATTCAGAGGTGGGGGTGCGGTCAGAACGAACAGGGCGCTTTATGCCACCTGGGACCTCAGTTTTCATATGGGCCGCCAGCACTCGGATATTTGGACTGAGCTCCCAGCACCTTGGATGCACCATTCACACCAGAACTACCAGCAGGCATCCACAGACCTCTTGGCATGCAGAAACAACTCCAGCCCCTGGGCCATCACTGGAAACCTGATGTCTCAGATCCTCTTGGCCAGCCTTAACCCCCTCCCCCCATCATCTCCTCCATCACTAACCTTGACCCGTATGAAGACCTGCTGAGTAAATCCCCATCAGGCTGTGTTCAGCAGGAGGGATAGTGATTAAGGTACTGAACACCACAGTGCATGTTAACTGATTAAATATAAGCCTGTGAAATAACTGTGACTGGCTCCAGATAAGGGGCCAGTCACCATGGTATGTTTGGGTGGGTCGTAGTGGTGGTGGTAGGGGCTTTTGAAACACGGACTTCAAGTGAGAGTCTTTTTGGTTCAAGGCTGATATCTCCCAGCAGTCTGCATCCTTAATAGTTATTTCCTGGTACAAAGGTGCATAACTACACGTTGCAGCCCCGACGTTCAATTAAGTGGGTATCAACATTGGATAAACGTGTGACAGTAGTTTCAAGAACTCAGTAGCGGTAGCATGCCTGTACCGTAGAATGCACGTCTGTCTCGGGAGCGCGCACAATGAAAACAGCGAAGGCAAAGCTGCTTTTTAAATTGGAAAACGATCGTTTCATTTTATGTAAACTCATAATGACGTATGTAACATATCTTACGACATTATATTTTGTTAAAAATACAGATATATGCAATACACCATGGGTGTCGGTAGGTCTTATCACCCCGAGTATTTTAGCTCCGATGCCAATCTTCCCTCAAAATAAATAAATAAATAAAGTTGAGCCTCAAGTTAACTTGACTTAGCTCCTGATCTTTTCGATAGCAAGAAACAGATTACACTTAGCCTGTTTGTCTCTGCATTAAAAACGTGCTTGATGCTGTAGTCAGTACAAACATAAAAAAGAGGATGTGGGGATATATTTAAGTTACTTGCCAGGAATCGAATCCCCTGTTTACACCTTTGAAACTTGGAGAAGTAACTCATGAAACTCTCAGGTACAAATTACGAAAAACACTTGCTGATTGGAGAAACAGAATTGCAAAATTAAGTCGGAATTTGCATCGGTCGGAAACTGTCGCAGCGATTTTTTCTGCCAATGCTGACCTGCGGGTTTTACCCAGGGGACGGCACGAAAAAAAATCCCTTCCTAACATTATCGTCGTCAAGCAGGGTAATAATAACAATAGCAGTGTGCTGAATATAAAAGCATCTTCCTTCCTGTACAAAACCGACGAAAATGCACACAAGATTTAAATTTAGGCATATTAACGGGAGTAACATACGGCCACCCAGGTCCTGATTAACCTTTTATTACCCGGACGACAATCACTGGTTAGTAGGCCTAGTTTGGATAGTTCAGGTACCGAAATTAAAAATCCAGACCAAGATTATAATTCAACTAACCAGTTGAGCATAAAGAGTCACATACACAGAGGACTCAACTGGTTGGTAGAAACAAAATCTTGGTCTATACTTTTACTATATCCTCGTCTGAATATTGTGACTGTGTGTTTCGAGTAGGATGCGTCTAACCTTTGATTTATTTATTTATTGGTATAATAATCAGGACTTCTGATTATTTTCTCATTTGTTTATTGGATTCTTACATCTGTATATAGGCTATAACGTCTACATCTCCTAGCCTGCCTACCATTAATTAGGTCTACCAACCATCATTATCAAAACCCGCGTTCATTAATTTAACGACATCGGTCTAAATAAAAATGCCCTAAATAAAAAACATACTCTTTAAATGTGAATAAGCGCAAAAAAAAATATTCATCGGGCTGTCTAAAGTTCCGGCGTGACAGATGTGGTTTGACTAAAGCATGATCAACATCGACCGTACAAGCAACAAGAAGCACATTAAACTCCGATCCCCGTTTGTATGAGTAAGATTATTATACGTAATTACGTGAATGGCGGCGACATGTTATGTGTAGCTGTTTGTCACTCCCCGGCCTCTTCTGAGCTGTAAGATGCAGGATATGAGCAGCTACGCTTTGAGGAAGTCAAACCGCCGACCTGCCCCTGCGTGACAGCTCACCGTCAGTCCCACGTTAATGTCGCGGCGCGATGGCTTTCTAACGATAGACCACCGATCACAATCCGCGCGATGCTTCAGAGGAAACACTCCAATGTTTCGGATAAACCAAAACCCAGCCATAAACCTAAGGTAGGAGATAAACAATACAACAATAAGTTATGGACTCTGAGTGGATTCTGAGGATGGATAAAGTTGACGAGACCAACAAGGGAAACCTGTTTGTGTAAACAAACAAGTACAAGAGTAATTAGGGTAGAGGAGTAGAGCAAAGTAGCCTATATGACAAAAGATGCCAAGTTCTATGCAACGCACATCCAGAATATCTTAATTTTTATTGCAAGTGTGTGCAGATAAAAATGTGTTGTGCAAAACGTCCGAGTGTTGCTCTCGCTTTTGCGCTCCGGCTCGGGGGGAGCTGTTACCTCTCTGCCCGTCACTGGTGTGGTTTTCACCCCTGCCTTGCGTGGTTTTAAATAGCACAGCATTGTTCTACAGTCGACGTTTATTATGCCTTTCGGTGCGCGGCGATGCGAGCAGGGCTGCCGACGTGGGTCAGCTAGTTTTCAATTCGAGACAAATCTGCGCACCCATCTACTGTACATGAATGTATAACAGTTTTATTACCCTGTAAATAGTCTGTAGGGTTTGCAAACTGCCCCAATGCTCTTGATGTACTGTAGCTAATTTTAGGTTTGTAATGGAGTGATATAGATTTGCCGTAAGATTTCTTGCAGGAAACCCCGTATGACTGTATTTACGCAGTTTAATACCTGTATTAATACCTATGGGGCTTTCCTTTAGGCGTGCCACACTTCTGCTAAGTGACTCAGAGCAAGCCGCAGACAGGCAGTAAATGGCAGAGACACGCACCGCTGGCCGCAGCTGTTCCCACTACACTTTTCTTTCCTTTTAACCGTTTAATTAAATAATTCTCTCCTTGAAACGTGTCGTCCGCACGGGAGAACATTTGCTCGATTCATTGCGATTGCTCACTGCTTTTGACAAATCTATACCATATGCTATCTTGGGTGAGGGAAATAGACGATCGTATAAAGGTAAACCATCACCGAGAAGAGTTTTTTTTCCCCAAATTAAAAAAAATATGTGTCACATGTACAGTTATGCTGGAAGAACTTGCAGTGAGATGGGTGGCATATTGTAAGTGTCACAAATGAGTTATTTGAGTATCCAAGGTGCAAGGAGGGACTTTTACTCATAACAAAAACAGCTGTATACTGTCACTACCCTCCTTCAGTAAAGCGTTTCGGTAAAAGCCTTCGTATTATTTAATGAATGTGTACACGTACAGTGTCGGATTAGCTAAATTTGTGCCACAGCTACAGCCACAGGCGTTAACTGAAAAGGGGTCACTGATATGTGTTTTGAATAAAGCATGGATCAATGAGAAAATCTCAGCCCATCAGCGTACTTTGCAAAAAAAAAAAAGCTTTGAGGCAAATGGGTACTAACAGTTTATTTCAAACAGCGGTCGGCAAGTTTCGGCCGATTCGACGCGCTTCGGTTTTCGAGCCCCGCCAGGCTCGAAGAGTTCAGGACCGATCGCGTAAGTCCTTACAGCCCGTTCACCTATTCCTGTGCGTTAAACACATGGACAGTGGCGTCACGTTAGATGGAAAGGTTATATAAAACCTTCTCGAAATCACCACACAGCGCCTGGACGGCCATTCGGTGCCCAAGGGGGAGCAGGACAAGGCAAGTACCCTGGGGAAGAAGATGCGAGCCATCTCCATGACCGTACGCAAGCGGATGGGCAAGAGCTACATCAAAGCTCTCTCGGAGGAAACGGTGAGAGTCAGAGGCGAGAGGACCGCGCCTGCAAGCCCATACCCGATATTTTGTTCAAGTGTGAGGTATAACTCAATTATTCAGTCAACCAATCACGTGCTTAAATGGCTGTCAAACTTATAAATCAGCGTAATCTGGCCATTAGTGAGCTCCCACCGTCAGATGCCCATCATTCTTGTTTACCAATAACTGACGAAATTAAATGATGGTACTTCATTGATCCCTGTGAAGAAATTCTACTTTCACCTGCCCCACCATGACACACATGTAAGTGAGTACAAACATGGCAGCACAGAGCAGCCACCTGCCGCTGAGCCCCCGGACCTGGGGGCTAAGGGCCTTGAACAAGGGCTCACAGGCAAGTGATTATTCGCCTGAGGCCAGGACTGAATTGGCAGCTTTCTGATCGCAGACACTGAGGCTTAGCCAACCGAGCCGCATGCTTCCTACCCATCCGTCAGCGGTCACCTCACGCAATTCACATCCCAGCAGCAGTAAACAAGCTTAACTGTCTAGCTGATTACAATTTAACTAGCTAAGTAGATGTGCTACTGTAAGGATGAGAAGGCAACTGAATTGTTTCTGTGTTATTGTCCCACAGTTATGTGCTGCATTAGCTTATAACTGTCAAAATATATCATGCAAATGTCTGCTTTGGTAGCTGTGTAATCAGTGTGCTAGTCAGAGGAGCAGTGGCAGGACAGTCAGGGCAGGCAATGACTTGGGGCCCCATGAGCTGGCAGGGGGCCCCCGAGGGCGGCCGATTACAGGCTACATTTCAACGACCAATCTGCTTTATTTGTCTATTCTGATTTTCATAGTGTAAATAAAGGAATTGTGTTTAATAAATTCTCTTTGTTGATATTATTAGTTTTACCATGTCAGGCGGGGTGCGTTGGAGGGCCCTCAGTGTCCAGCTGTGGACATTATGAATTTAAGCTTATGTCATTTAGCGAACCTTAGCCAGCCAGGTAGATGGGAGACCAACCCAGGCTGTAGTTTTTCAGTATTTGCTACAAAGCCACAAACCCCACAACAACTCAGGCTTTTCCATCTCATGTCACATGTCATCTAGCTAAATGTATATGCGCATATTTCTATATGCGTAGGTGTATTTTTTATGTCTTGTGCGTGGCTTTGAAGTGGTGTTACATTTGGTCTGCACAACATACCCCTGCACGGAAGGGTGGGGGCTTTGGCGAAATGTGGACCAGACGGTATAATGCTGTAAAGATGCAGGAGCCGAATAGCCCGGAGATTTTTGGCAAGAAAACGAGATTTTGAGAGTTTGCGTGCTCTGAAAAACATTCAACTCATCGTTAGATGGAAATGCTAGATGTTAGAAAATGCATGTTCACGGTTTCCTGGGGTGACGCCATCTGCTCTAGCCGCACCATCATGAGAAGGTGGAGATGGAGAGAAACAGGTGGATTCTGAGACCCGTAAGTACGCTACGCGTTAGGCTTTGCCCAGTTAAAGGGTTTTGCCGAGGGTCAGACCAGTCGCGCAGAGACTAGATTAATGTACAAGGGATTGAGGTTGTGCGATTTATCAGCCTCGGATGTGTGACACAGACGAAATGACTTTATTTCAAAAGTGAGGAGCGTCCACTGTCTTCAGTGACGTATCGCTGTTGCCCCAGGTCGAGGACACGGGACAGGGGCATGAGGGCCAGGCCGAGGGTAATGTCCAGTGCCTGAGGAGGGGCAACAACTCACTGGAGACCCTCTACAGCCTCAGCTGCAACTCGAGCTCCTCCAGTAAGTAACCCACCCAGCCTCCCCGACACACTTCCCCTAATTTAATTTTTTAGTTTTACTTCATTTTTTAGCAGAGGTGGAATTTTCAGGTCCAGGGACTCAAAAATCCAGGCCAAGATTTCATTTCAACCAACCAGTTGAGTATAAAGTCTCATTCACAAAGTACTCAACTGGTTGGTTGAAATGAAATCTTGGCCTGGATTTTTAGTTCCTGGACCTGAACTTTCCGCCTCTGGTTTTTAGCTTCCTGTCAAACACCTTCATGTCACCATGCTTGTGTGTTGCTTGTTTATCCCGTTGGATGCATTTGTCCCTAACCTACAGCAGTAGGTCCTTTCCTGCAAATGAAACCGATTTCTGTGGGTTTATGATCATCCTGTCCGTCCCCAAAGAGACTTGCGGCCCTGTATTAGTGCCACGGGACCTCTGACATTTTAACTGGGCTGGTTCAACCTTTATTGGGGTCATTAAATCCCAGATCCCAGCAGTGATCCAGACCGTTCGTTTGCCTTCTCTTCAGGCGGAGTCGGAAGCAGATCCAAGAACCGGCACAGTCTGTGGCTGGACGTGGAGCTGCCGTACACCGGGCCGTTCTGCGGCCGGGCCCGGGTCCACACGGACTTCGTCCCAAGCCCCTACGACACAGACTCCCTCAGACTCAAGGTTGTCTGCCAACGGCTGATTCGAGCGTTAATATCGTTTAGTCAGATGGATTTGCACATCATAATAGAGCAATTTACATTTTCTCTATTTAGCAGATGCCTGAGTTCAAAGTGGCAAACTAAAAGACAGGCAAATAGCTCATTGCAGCTAGGCTGAGCTTCAAATGAATGCCCAGGTTCGAGTCTAAGCAGTATTGAAGTAGGAGCTACAGAACACATTTTTTAACAAAGCAAGAACCTTGTAAGATGAAATTAGGTTGTAGTAAGAACATTTAGGGAACATGGAGCTATTCAGGTTAAGTCTCCACCAGACAAATTCTAACGGACCTTAAACTTACACTAGCTGAGTGAACGCTTGCCGTCTCTGTCGTCTTCCATCGTCCAGGTGGGTGACGTGATCGACGTCATCAGCAAGACCCCCGTGGGTATTTGGACGGGCATCCTCCATGACAAGGTGGGGACCTTCAAGTTCATCTACGTTGACCTCCTGGAGGAGGTGCGTCGGGAGAATGTCCGGCCGTACCGGCGGAGAAAGCTGCCCATGCTGGCCACCCTGCAGGAGTTCCTTGAGAAGCTCCACTTGGAGGTGAGGCCTCTCTCACTTGAGAAGATCACACCCCACCATCGACCACTAGGTGGCTGCACCACCCATTTTAACTCATGTCTGACCTACGCCTGAATGGCCGTATTTCCACCCATCTTCCATAACCACTTAACTAGTACTGGATTAGGCTTTCAGTTTGGCTTATCTAGTTAACAGACGCATCACTCCCTATAGTTTGGGATTTTCTTGCTCTCGTTTCAGGAGCACGCCTCCACCCTGCTTCTTAATGGCTACCAGACCGTGGAGGACCTGCGTGAGCTGACGGAGCAGCACCTGTGCGAGCTGAACATGACCGATCCGGAGCAGCGGCGCCTCTTGCTGGCTACTGCGCACAGCCTCTCCGACGCGGAAGGTGAGTTCACCGTCGGCTTCCGTGGCACTGCAAACTAACGATGGCGATATCCCCGACTAAAGTCGACAATAAGTCCTAAAGCACGATGCGAGTTTCACAGCCTGTCATCGTACAGCTGCAAGAATCGTCAGTGTTTGACTTTATTAAACCCCTAAATCCTGTTCCAGCATCCTGTGCCTACTCCGCTTTTGCTATCCAACTTCGGGCACGTTCACACGCCTGTGTATTTTTAGCGCGACCCTTTCGCTGAGGTCTGGGACAGGCATAACGAAACCGGGACACCTGTCCCATCAGGAACCAGGACTGAGACCTGCCTGGTCACTCTGTGGTCACAAGGACCTGATCGTGGTGGCCTCCCTGTCCAGCTGTTCTCAGAGTTAGGATCACATAGCGAGAGAGAGAGAATTAACAGTGACAGGTATGACAGCGATCCACGTTCAGAGGGAGCGGCCCGGTCCTGATTGTGAGAGCCCAGAGGTACCTCCTGGAAGCCTGAAGCGGAATCAGGAAGCCCACAGCTCTTGGTTCTGGGCACCATGGCCCGGATGGTGTGGCATGCATCTCCAGCAGGGCAAACGTGCAAAGGAATTAAAGGGGGCTTATTATGTTTTTCTGGTTTTCCCCCTTCCGTTAGTGTGTTACATAGCTTTATGTGCATATAAACGGTCTTAAAGCCCAAAGTACACACCAAGACAGCAACTCTCACCACAGAAACCACTCTTCTCTGATATGCCTGAAATGCCTTGTTGGAAATCCAGCCCTAACTTCCTTAACATGGTGAGGTCACCTTGTAACACAATCCTTATTGGCTGCCTACAAGGATCTGTCTGCAGTAAGACAGGTGTGGAACATGTAGGGCAAGCTGGCCAATCAGAGCACACCGGGCTCATCAGGAGTGGAGCTTAAAGCTCTAATCGAGCGTTTCATACAGTTATAGACAGAGAGAATAGAGATGTGTAGTACAAGAAAAATGTGATTTTGGAACACTGAAGCATGTAAATCTATTGTAGTACACCCCAAAAATAAAATTATGTACAGTGAAGATGAGCATAATTGGGCCCTTTTACAACAGCCCAGTAGAGTGTAAGGAACCTGGGTCTCCATCATGAAGACCAAGAAGATTTAGTGGTTCCAGGGAGCGATGGAGAGATTAACATATGACAGGCGGACCCAAAGACCAAGAGTCTCAGTAAAAGGCTAGGCCGTGTGAAGCACAAGCCACACTTTATAATCACCTTCTAATGAAACACTGCACAGTGTCCAGCTGCTCACAGGGCCGTTCTCAGACCAAACCACTCTCGGGCCCTGCCACTCAGACCAAACCACTCTCGGGCCCGGCTTCTCTCAAACTTGCCGCTCCGTGTCCCCGTCGCTCTCAGGCCCCTTCCGGTTGGGTTGAAGCAAAGAACAAAGTACTTCATCGGTTTCATGAGTTTCCAAACTGTACTTTATCTGTTTAATGTGTTTGACAATTATGAAACACAGATTGTGCACAAATATATGTGTAGGACATTTTTTGCCATCTGTTTAAAATCTACACATTTTATATATTCAATTTTGTTTTTACTGATTAAAGTTTTACGGTTTATGTGTAAAAATTCACAACAAAAACACAAATAGCATTTTTATTGATATCAGCATTTATCGTTACAGTATCTACGATTATTTGTCAAAGACCTGCCTAGATATCACTATATTGACATTCTCAATAGTATAATGTTTTGGGAACATCTATCACATTACCTATTGCGTTACTCATTCTCAATCCATGAAATACATTTACATCTGGAATGAAATAGTACTGAAGCGATATCATTACATGATGATCATTTTATTGTTTTATTTTGTTCCCTTTGGTGCATTCTGGGGTCCTGAGAGTAGTGAGGCTTGACAGTGGTGAATTGTTTTGTGCCAAAATTGGGCCTGAAAGTGGCAACTGCACCCAGACACTATTCAGAAGAATCTGCAACGCCGGCAGGAAGCGATGGTCACAGAGACAGGAAGTCATGCTTTTCAGTAGCGAAGCTACTGTGGCTTCAATGGTATCGGTGTGTCCACAACTACTACCGGTTAACTTTAAAACGCTTCAGAGCCTTTTAATCATCTTTCACTGTTGGCTTTCTTTTGATCTGCTTTGCTTCATGTAAATTTTACAGAAAGTCACAGAGGTCTAGAAGCAGAAACAGACGATCTTTCTGCCATACAGCCAGCGATTCTGTGGCATGAACAGGGACATACATGATCACACATGATCACTGAATTCATTAGAATGAACCAGAATGAGGTTTTCACAGTGAGCGATGCAGTACGATAAAAATGATCGTCTCTGAGAGGTATGCAGGCGCGTGATTCGATCAACTGGACGAAAAATCTATTTCCCTCTCAGCAGCACTTTTCTTTCGCTTTGTTCATTTGGTCTTAGTGATGCCATTTAAAAACTGATAAATATACACTATGTATATATGTAGTCGAGTCTGTAGTGTGATTCTGTCACCATGTGAATGTCACCTGATTTTCTGCCGGCCCGTAACCCGCAGCACAGACACCTCTCAGTGTGTAATGCTGCCCTCTGAAGATCCATGACCACTCCTCTGTTTCTGGGCCTGCTCTGTGCCGTGCCTTAGTGCGTGGCACCCCGCTGTTTAAATGGTACCTCCCTCAGCCCTTCTGTTCCTTTGGCAGATGCTGAAGATGAAGGTGCGGGCGACCCGGAGAAAGGGGCCGGCGCCGGTTCTCCCCGTGACTCCGGCTGCTACGTCGCGCCGGGGTGCTCTGAAAAAGCAGCAGACACTACCCCGACGGCACCCCCCTGTCAGGACGCGGTCGTAGTACAGACCTGAATCTCCCCCGTCCCGCCTCAGCACTTGGAATGACCCACTCACTGAAAGTCTGGGCAGTCTCCCAGGCCATAGGGGTGCGGTAAACAAAGACCGTATGACTGACCTGTGGGGTTTCTGGCTGATGAATCAGATCTGACTGATACTTGTTGCAGTAAGAGTTGCGTAGGCGGGGGGGGTTTAGGGAGTCCTCTGCACATGTATTCTGTTCTTCCTCTATAACTTGTTTCCTATTGTGACTTTAAATCACTCTACAGTTTGTTGATGCCCCTACTAAAAGAAGTGCTTTAAGAATAGGTCACGCTAGTTATGTGCATTTGGGGACGTCTGATCCATCTGTCCGCCCCCCAACTCACCTGGCTCACGCGAAGGTCGCCGTCACAGCACACTGACGCCGTTCCCATAAGCCAACGGACCTCCGGTCCCAACCCACATCTGTGGGATCCGCTGTTGTAGATTCATCTTCCAGAGTTACGTACTTCCTGGATAACTGACACAAGCAGCCTGATAGGGCACAGCCCATCTGCTCTGTTTCACCTGCCTGAAGCAGACTCCCTTTAGGAGGCACTCTGCCGCCATCTGCTGGTGGGACTCTGCATCAGCCTGGACAGGCTCATTCAGAACACGCATTACATCATCACAGAGTGGTACTCAGATGGACACCTTAAACCACCGGATTTCATGTCACATTTAATAAAATTTGCAATAAATACAGCACCTCTTAAAAACCCAAAAAAGCACGCCGTTATTCAGGAGTTCATGCTGGGAAAATGTGTATAAAAACAGGACAAAAGTCGTTCTCACAATTTTCGCATTGAAATGGGAAGTGTACAGAATAAAGTTTACACAGAATGGCACACGTGTGTGTGTGTGTGTGTGGGGGGGGGGGGGAGTTACCTATTAACACATCACAAACACACACACCCACTGATCCTGCCCATCAGGGGACGACACTGGCTGTACATGGGTACCCAGATCCACATTCTGCATCTGCTGGGTCCATTAACAACAGTGACAGTATATCCAGCATAGACCGGACTCGATTCAAACGGTCAGCTGACAGAGGCCTCATACTCGAAGAGTCTCATGGTTTCGGTCGGGGACCACGGCGGGGAGGGGGGGTGGGTGAGCTACAACAGAGAAAGGGCCAGACCAGTCGTTTCACCACGGAGTCCCAGAAGGAAAACGAAGTCCACAAGCTGAGCGGCGCCGTCCCGTTGCACATGGTCCGCACCGCCTGGAAAGGCTCTGCATGCGTCCAAGGGGGACGCTTGAAAAAGTGCGCCTCCCTGTCAGTTCCAGATGCTGCCACTAGGTGACACCACAGTCAACGGGAAACACCTTCGTTTGTGTAGCAGTCGTACCCATTCTCTGTGTACAGGGACAGTCCCTCGGTGGCCCCCATGCCATTGTCGATTTCTGTGGAGACCGGAGTGGCACATGCACACTGTTAGTGATAAAGCATATGAGAAAAGTGATAAAGGACACATATCAAACCACTCCCATGCTTGAGAGGGCCAGAGAGCACAGGTCCTGAATGAGCAGTTCAATCTGATTCTGAACATACACATCAGGACACACCTTCATCCAGAACCATTAGCATGAGTGCATGCAGGACACCAGTACCCAACCATACTCATCCAGCAGGAGGATTATGAAGAGGTGTGGGGGATTGGGGGGGCTGTATCTGGGCTCTGGGACAAATGGAGGATAGTACAAGAGTCATAGGACAGGCAGCCAGTGACCATCAATATTCAAACACTCTCAGCAAGGAAGCAAGGGGTATATATGGCTGGAGCAGCTCCCCCTGGTGGTGAGTAAGATGAAGCACAGTGAGAAGCTCCAAGCCCCGCCTGCCCATTTTCTGTACCTGCGAAGATGAGCTTCTCTTTCATGAGGCTGACCTCCCGGCTGGACCTCCGAACCGCCGCACTCAGCATGATTTGCTCAGGGTTATAACGGTGCATGCCGCTCATTCGCCACCTGTGGTAAGATACAGTTGTACCACAAGGGGGCAACAGACTGCACCACCACCCACAGCCCTCACACCAATCTGCTGTTAGAGGGCCAGCAGGGATGGGAACAAGTCAATCCTTGACGAGTCGGGTCAAAACATTCAACAAGTTCAATTCAAGTCTCAAGTCATGTGCCCTCAAGTCCAAGTCGAGTCAAAGTCTTTCCCTCAGTCGAGATACAAGTCAGTGTAGAGTTGTGAGTCAGTGACTCGAGTCCCCATCACTGAGGGCTAGAGCTGCAACCCAGAGAGCAGAATTTTCAGGTTTACTTAGCAGGATCAAGGACATTCTCTTCCACCACCATGCAAGCGTACTGGTAACTGGTCAAGGTGTCACAACCACAAACAAGTCACTAGTTATAAGTTAAGGTTAAGCCTGGAGAGAGGCTGGAAAAAGCTTTTCCTGAACCTGTGGCCACAAGCAGCTCCAAACCTAAGCATAATATTACTCCTACCAATTTACCAAATAATAGCCACTGTGTTGTAAAGGTAGTGACGGCCAAATGAGGCTTCATGAACCATGTGCTGTATTTTCTGTCCCCACTAGATGGCGCTCTCTGTTCAAAAAAGGGCTCAAAGCAAACCGAGATTGCCATCTACTGTCAAAAAATGGTTCATGAAGCTTAATTTCGCCATCACTACGTAAAGGCATAATGGCTTGTACAGAGGCACGAAAATGTGATTCTGTCACTCTAAAGTTTCTTACCAATGCATGAAGCTAAGAGAGCAGGTATACCCTCCCAGATCATCTCTGGACTCTGTCCATGTGCCCTCAACTGCCTGACCATGTCTGGGCACCAGCTACAGGTCAGAGCATCATGCAGCAGACATTTGATTTGATTAAATGTGAGATTTTTCCTTCCAAAAATCCTCTGACGTCTTATATCCCCAGAAACAAATCTGCTCTATCTACTCAGGCCTCTAAAAGCAGAGACAGAAAGTGGATGCTAAAGGGTTAAAGCTTCGGAAGCGTCTGAAGGGCGTTTAAGGGTGTGTGGGCAGCCGGGAGCACAGACTGGAAGGACTGGGATGCTGAGAGAAGGCATTGCGGGACTCTTTACCTGGTTATGTGACAGCTGAGAGCCATGTGTGCCACACAAGAGAGAAAGACCAAGACAGGTTGGGAAATAACAGAGCAGTGAGTATAGATGCTGATACAGCAGACGCCATGAGTGCAGAGCCTGGTGGGGCCCATAAACGCAATTCAGTCCACCCACCTAAAGGGGGCGCTGCCTGCAAGATGTCTTGTAGGGATATACTGGTAAAGCTTCAGGAGGGTGTGATTTTAGTCACTGCAAAGATTCTGCAGGACCAGGGCGGGAGTTCAGAGTTTGTCAGAGATTAATGTACGTATGTGACAGACCAGGCAAGAGCAGAAACACACAGCCGCTACCAGGCAAACCACCTCCACACAGGGGCGGCCGGATCATGAGAGGAAAACGGTCACAGATGGGATCAGTCCATTACTGGCCCCAAAAGCAATGCATAGACATGGGGGAGCATCACAGGAAGCTGACGGCAAAGGAGTGTTATTCACCATGACGACGATGACATCGCTCAGGAAGGCACAGCCTGACTGCCGGCTCAAAGAGAGCCACACGAGGTTAATAAAGCACACTTCACCGTGGTGTTACTTACCTCTGGAACGTAAACACTGTGATAACGATGGCAAACGAGATGAGATCCGATGTTATCCAGACCAAGCAGTATTTATCAGGGCTCTGAAATAAGAGGAAAAAAAACACCCACTTACACCATTCCACCACTAGATGTCAATAAAGTTCAGCACCTTACCGATAATAGGTCGCCAATGAACCATAACAAAATGTAAATCAGTAACAGCATAACAGAGAAACAGAGACACTGTAGATATAGACCTGCGCACACACAGAATGGGATCTCACCACGAGCCAGATGGGTGAAGGCACGTTTTTTAGGATGTGGGGGGCGTCGGAAGAGACCGAGGAGACCCCACTGCACCAGAGCGCTGAGTAGAGCCACGGCACGTTGACTGTGAAGAGAGTGACGCTCACGTTGTGCGAGGAAAGCTCCCTAGAACACAAAGGCAAGCAAAACACACAGGTAAGTCTGGAGAGGTCTGCCACGTTTCCTAAGCTCACCAGAAGGGGGCGCCAGTGCGGGCCTCTCTCTGCGAAGCTCTCATTCTCAAACGTCCAAGCGTCTTTGCGGCGGGAAAGCCGTACCGGATCTCGGTTGCAGAAAGCCGATCGTAGCGCAGATAGACGCGGAGGAGGCCTCGTTCGTGCAGAGCATCCACGGGAAGTTTCTCCTCGGAGGTCTGTTGTAGCCCAGATGCCACACGCCGGACCATATCCCGCTCCCAATCAGGGGTCCACAGCACCTGAGGTTCCGTAGCAAAAATCGGGAGAAGACAAGTTTAGCCCTGATGTCTCCTTTTAGGAGGATTAGGGCTGTCAGCAATAAGGCGCCGAATTCTCCTCATTTCAATGGCAAACCGGAAGTCCCCCCCCCCCCCTTACCTGCTTCTGCAGGACACCAGAGCGCAAGACCGTCTGCAGGGTGTCATTCAGCCAGGTCAGGTGACGCGGGTGCCCTGGGGGCGGACGCTGCAGGCGGAGCAGCACAGAGGTGTTGGACTGCACCACCAAAGCCAGCAGCTCCGCCAGGCTGCACAATGTCTGGTTGGCCGCCCAGCTGATCTCCTGGGGGGTCATAGACCTCACTGTCCAGAAGGGGTCGTCCTGCCAGAGAGAAACATTTTTTTTTAATTAAGCATAACCTCATATTTGACAGAAAATCTGTTAAAAATCAGCAGCGAAGGTTTGTGACAGCTACCCAAGGCCAAGGACCAATCAGCACAGCACCCTGGCGTGACATCATAGCCAGCAATTTGCATAAATAAATAACGAGCCATACCCTGACAAACCAGCGGCCCGCATTGAGGGCTGACAGCTCCGCCCATCTAAATGAGGAGGGATCCTCCCACTGGCGCTTGGGGAACACCTTCTGCACGTCCGTGGTCCTCCTCAGCGAGCCGGCCCGCATCAGGAAGGGCACGCCGTCCAGGCTGTCAATCACACCCGGGACATGCCCACGTGAGCAGTCACTAGCGAGATGCGGGGCAGTGACCCTGCCTTTCAGCACAGGGTCCCTGCTCCCCCCACCCCCCAAAAAAAAGATGGCACAGTCACCTGATTGCCACATCTGCCTCCAGCCCGCTGACCTTCTGTTCCAAGGCCTTGCGGAAAGACATGAGCGTGTTCTCAGGTGCCAGCTGCAGGGGGCGACAATGAGCAGGCAGCGGCCATGAGGAGCGGCCACACGAAACAAGCATTCAGGCTCATTTTAGACAGACGGTCAAATGTGAGCGCAAGTCCAGGTAACGGAAGCTGGAACAGGCTGTAGAGGGCACCCTGTTCAACCCCCCCCCAGCCAACCGACTCACCATGGGGGCACCCCGGCGACCAAGCACAGCAGGCCGTGTAGTGAAGTTCCCCCGGCCCTTCAGACAGGGGGAAGAGATGGAGAGTGGGGCCAGGTAGATGGCCAGCAGAACGGCCAGATAGGTGAGTGCCAGCGCCACCTGGCTGTCTGGGAAGGTAGGACATCAGTGTCAGATTAGCATCCAACCATGTTGTGACCCTGCTATCTATATTCTTTATTGCAATTTTATTCTTATGTTAATATTATTTATTCTTATTTTTTATATAATTCCATTTTGCTTTTGATTGCATACTTCCATAGCACACGATCCAGGAAGCAGGTGGATAGGTGTTTCACTATGCGGAAGTACAGTGTACGTTTCTGTATGTGAAAAACAAAACTTGAAACTCCTCAGTCACCTGATCAATGAGGAAACGGCAAGAAAAAAAAAGGTGGGTTTTGACCGAGTCGTTTTATTTGGAAATCCAGAACAGGCACTGAATTATACTTCTGACACCTCACCCCCCCACATAGGGAGGCCTGACCTTTAATCAGGGCCCCCCCCACATGACTCACTCATGCTCTCGGCACGGGCGACCTGTCCCGCCACCACCCAGGCCAGCAGTGTGATGACAGTGAGGGCTCCCAGCTGCAGGATGGGGCCCATGACCTGTAAACAAACTGCCGTGTCAGCGTCAGCCACAACACGCATGAAGCGTGCAGGGGCCCACATGAAGCTGGGGTGGGGCCGAACCCCCTCTCACCTGCAGGGATATGAGCACAGTCTTCCATTCGTCACCCCAAACGCCGCTGATGTAAACAAACCCAACGACTGTGGTCAGGAACACTGCAGTAAGCATGACCTTCATGGGCAGATGAAAGAGACCCCGCCCACTTCAGACAGAACTCATCATGTCATTTGCATATTACCTCCAGATTGGCCAGTTACAATTGCCTGAGAGATCTGATTGGATGCTCACTGGTCATGTGGTAACTGCATGCTATATTAAAGAATGGCAGCTCATGCTAACAGTGGCACATAACACTAAAGGCGCAGTAGCTTATGGTAACGGAGCAGTGTTTGCTGCCAGCAGCATGTCGACCAAGAGAGGCAGCTCGTTTTAAGGGGGGGTACCTTGTGCAGCCAGTAGAGGTGCAGCTGCTGTCCCACCGGCATGTGACATACTGCCAAAATCTGGGAGGGAGAAAACGCCCCAGGAAACTTCAGCTTCCACACACATGTCCGTGTGACATAAACGACGCTTGCCAACGCCCAGTGAAAGGAAATTGCAGGGACTGCCGGGCACGCTTGTGTGAATACCGGCGATGACAACTCACCATTAAAAATGTAACATAGGTGAAGCCGGTGGCCGTGGCAGCAACTATGGTGACTGTCCCATCTGTCCACTCCCCCGATCGGTTATACAGCAGCCTGAAAGGCAAGATGGGTGAAACGTGGACTATGGCAGTACCTTACCCACTGTGGTACTGGGAAGGACCCTGAAGCAACCGGGTTTGATGACGGAAATGCTCAAAAGCGGTTAGCGACTGGGCTACCAGAAAGAGCCGGATGAATTGAGAAGGCTGTAGAGTGGACTCACAGGCAGGACTACATTTCCCAGCAGACCTCTTTCCACAGGGGTTTGTAGAAAAAGCCCCCCCACCTCATTAGAGACATGCAGGTCTGGCCTACATGATCGAGCAATGCCTGTGTGGTCAGGGGATAACCCTTAGATGAACTCCATCAAGCTCCTACAGGCAATAACAGCCTCTGCAAGTCCAGAAAATTCAGATTGGCTAAGATGGGCAGGAGGGCTGAAGCGAGGCCCCCTGCTGGTCACTTAAAGCGTGTCACCTGAATTTCATGTGCAAAAATATTCAGTCCCATTATACGCAATTTAGATACGTATCAAGCGCTTACATATATCCATCTTTTATCCACGTAATCGCTTGCAGAGTGCTTACATATAATGAATTAACGTGCAGGGCAATTTACCTCAGAATATATCTGACGCCAAAGCTTAAAGATCCCTGGCTAGAAAGCATGTTAGCTCGTGTGATTTCATTAGCTGCCCTCAGAAGATGTGGGAGGAGAATGGCAAATGCGAGCAGCCGTTACTCAGATCCCATAACGGGAACGTTTCAGAGCCACAAAGGATCCTGATGGTTGAAGATGTGAATGTTTCCAAGAGGGAGACGAGTAGGGGGTGGGTGGGCGGCGGAACAGTAACCTAGTTAAAAGAGTGGAACTGGTAACTACCTAACAGTACGATCTAATGCAGGAGGTAATGACGCCTTAAATGTCCTGGGGAACACCACAGACGTCCCGAGGTCGTCCCGGAGCAGACGGAAACCCAACCCAGGAGGACTGCCGTCCAAGTGGAGACGGTCGATGGCGAGAGGGGATGAAGATGAGCCTGGAAAGTGGCCAGTGTCTCCCCAACGCCACGAGGCTTCGATCTGGATACTCAGGACACGCTTCAGCCATGAAACACTCCTGACCTCAGCTTACGTTATTATTTTGCTTAACAGATGTCTTTAAATAATGGAATGCTTGTTTTTGTGTCCATGAATATTTAATCGCCTGAAGTATTTAATTACTAAGTGAGGAAGTTGCCAGTTCTACATCTAAACCATGTGATGTGCAAGTGCTAAAGGGTTCTACGTATGCCGAGGGTACGAGAACCCAAAAGGGTTTAAGGGTCTAAGGATCTAATCCCACCCAAACTTACCAGTTCAGTTCGCTGTAGTCATTCTGAGTGGCCCACCAGAAGTAGGTCCAGACGAGGAGCAGGAGGAAGATGGCACAGAGAATGAAGAACCAGAGTCGCTCCCACTGTGACAGAAGAAGAGAGAGAGGATCAGGAACCAGGGGAACATCCACTGCGACAGAGAACGGATCAGGAACCAGGGGAACATCCACTGCGACAGAGAACGGATCAGGAACCAGGGGAACATCCACTGCGACAGAGAACGGCTCGAGAACCAGGGAAACACCCACAGACACTGATGAAAACACTGGTGTGCAGCAGATGTGAGAATCCAGCACGCTAGAACTTGTCTGACGTAGGAAAACGGCTCACACCATGAAATGCCCATAAACTGCCTTGTAAAAAGCAAATATGCATGACTTCAGGGAACATGTTCCAATTACCCTTCTCGCAATATAACAAAATTGGCGTCTGAACATTTTCAGCAGAGGATTACTAACGTTGCCCAGAAAGAAATCCTTACCCCAGCCCCCCAGAAAGGGATCCTCACACACATGTACTTCCCAAGCCTCCCTCTCCATGAAAATGGCCTTTCCATTAACCAGAATGTAGTCACTGCATGCGTGTGATTTGACATGGACCATCTGGGATGCAGAATAAGGCGTGCTACTGCCAAGAGGAGCAGAGCGATGATTGGAAAGGCCATGTGACCATGGCAACAGGCCCCGCCCCTCACCCGGCCAGAGAGGGAGATGCCGGCAGGGTCAGGATTGAAGGGACCAGCAAATTGATGCTTCCCATGCATGTGCAGCTAATGAAGCTAATTATGCACAGGAGGGGGTCTCGGATCTGTGTGGATGGTCACCACGCTCCAGGGTGGGGTGGGGGGGTTTGCAGATTTGGGGTGCAGAGCACAGGGAACGTCAACAAAGTTGAGAAAGCTTACTTTTCACTTTTCAAGGAGGCAAAAAGCCAACAACACACTTGACCGGTATCATAACTGGGGGGGGGGCTGGTACACAGCTTACAGTGGCTCCACGATCCAATGGTCAGAGGTCAGAACCGCGAGGGCTGCTCTTTCCACAGAGGCGATGGGGGGAACCACAGCCTCACAGAAGGGGGGAGCGACAGAGACGCAGCAGAGGGTGAAAGCAGGAAGCAGGGGTGCAGGGAACGAGTCAGGGCAGCGTTTCCAACCCGGTCCCCATGGCAACCCTCAGATGGGAACCCCCAGACAGTCCACGCTTTCGCTCCCTCCCAGCACACCTGCGCCAGGTATTCAGTGTTCCTGATGGGCTGGGATCGGTAGGTGTGCAGGAAGCTGGCAGGTGTTCCTGATTGGTAGGTGTGCAGGAAGCTGGCAGGTGTTCCTGATTGGCTGGGATTGGTAGGTGTGCAGGAAGCTGGCAGGTGTTCCTGATTGGTAGGTGTGCAGGAAGCTGGCAGGTGTTCCTGATTGGCTGGGATTGGTAGGTGTGCTGGACACTGGCATGACCAGATTCTGAAACCAGGAGTTGCCTTCAGGGAAGGGACGCCGTTTATCTTAACCAGGGAGCTTCAAAGCACCTGTTGCGGGTCCCTAAAACAAATCTTTAGTTTGTTTATTCCACCGTAAATAGGAATTACACAGCAACTTATAAAAAGTGATGCTTTTCTTGCCTTTTGCCAGTATGAGTACAGGGACACTGGAATTAGTCAGTAATCGCATATAGCAAGCGCACAGCTTGGGGTTGGAGTTCAAGGTTAGCCATTTACCCGCCGTCCCTGGAGCATTTCGGGGGGGGGGGGGGGTTAAGAGCCATACTCAAGGGCCTAATGAAGATGTGACTATTCAGGAGAGAATGGGATTCGAACCGACAGCCTTCCGATCACAGGCACCACCTGCTGAACCACATGCAAAAGTCAAAAAAGCGGCCATTCTTTGGCTGAATCCAGTGCATTACAGGCTGGGAGGCCCCAGGGCAGAGATTCGAGGTTCTGTGCGGGTCTTTAAGGCAGCAGGAATGAAAACCACACTCAGTCCTGAATTATTAATCGAGGATTTGGGGACACTCCTGCGGCGTCTCCGTTTCCGATACGACTCAGCGGGGGAGACGGGGGCCCTGCAGAGGATGGCCGGCTCTCAAGGTCATGGACTGGCAAATGTGCCTCAACACCTTGCGAGGAGCGACCACAGACGATCGGGAGCATGTTAGGGCGTACTCACGCTTGGCCTTGTACCGTGCCCGAGCATGACTGTCCCCCCTCCTCGCTCCCCCGCTGGTCTGCACTCACGTTGCACTTAACGTTCTGAGCCTGAGCATGCTTTTGTCATGAATGTGCGACTTTATGTCTTGAAGTAAACAGGAAGAAAAGCATCATCGCACAGTACAATGGAGTTCATGATTAATTTCCTTATTTTGTGGTTTATTTGGAGTCGTTTTTGGGGGCGATGACACAGCACTCCAACAGATTAATCGAGTATGCAATACAGTGATTTTCATTTAATCGTGCTGCACATAGAAGAATATATTTGGGAAAATACTGTCCCTGAGTGTTTTTCTGTTGTTTCTCGATCCTCTAACCAGCCCACATTTCCAGCAAACACTGCATCTCTGCCATTGACCAAAATGATACATTTGCCACAATGTCTGTTGAAAGTTTGTCACTGCCCAATCTGTACAGCCTACCCCATCCGTTCCTTCCAGGTCCGGTTCATGTACAGTGTACAGTGTTTCAGTCGCAACATTGGCGCCACGTCCATGTTCCGCGGTTGGGCACGGATGCATAGTGTGGCCGGGTCCAACTGAACCGTGCTCGCTTACGGTAATGGATCGATCACGTGTCAGATGAACTAGACTTTGGGGGTGAAAGGTGCTTGGGCATGGTGTGGATCGCCTAATGCGAGTACACCCTAAAAAGCACCGTGATCAAAGCCGTTGCCGTTAAAGGGGCCACCTGCTGACCACGGCCTGCTACTGCAGACAACTGCAAGATGATTAAAAATCAGCAAAACGGCAACAGAGGCTGACACATTAAAGGTAACACCTCAATTTAACCCAGCGATACTTCTGGATCTGCACCCCTACCAGCTATCCTTCTCATGGATGGAGGTGCACAGCTCTTCAAGGTGTACACCCCTTTGAGTACCCAGATGGTCTCTACAGTATTTGAGTACAGAACACGAGTAATGGTTGAGTACTCATTTTAATGATAAGATACCCACAATCAGAGAAAACTCGTGAAAAAGGGCAGGATTTCACCGCCTACTGAACCTCAGCACCTTGGTGTTCTGGGTGGGTGGGGGGGGGCACCTCGTTGCCATGGTGAACTCTCAACATCGTGCTTTATCAGCTGTCCGTGTGTTTAACAAATAGATTTTGAAGTCATTCCTATTTACTTACGTGCAGAGCTCAGGGATAGCAGAGATAATTGTTTTTAAACAACTTGCTGGTAACACAAAAAACACAGTGGACCAATATATGAACTGGTATTTGCCTAAAAAACATTCCTATTATAAAGCAAACTTAAAAAAAAAAAAACCCCAGTGACCAGGACTACGAACCAGACAATGTTTTCGCACATGATATATTTAAAGTAACAGCCATCACTTTGACCAGCAGCACGGATTGCCTGTACTCTGAGCTAAAACAAGCTTTTCTGTGCTAATTAAGACAAATCACTCCTTAGAGAACCACGTCGACCAGACTTCAATAAGCATGGGGGTGTTTTGCCCCCCCCCCCCATTATGGATGAGTCTATCAATACCAGTTACCAGAAGCAATACAATCTGACCGCAAAATACCACGTTTGCGAGTTGTGATCATAAGTGCACTCTGAACTCATGACCACGGTCAGATATGTAATCCACAAAACTGACTAGATCATGCCCTTCAAGATCTGAGGACCCTGATCACAGATCTAGCTCTTGCTCACAGACAGATTTACCAGGCGGTGGATTAGTGCAGTACAAATAAAGTCAGTGTTCCTCATCCCGGCCCCCAAGGGCCCCGAGGACGGTCCACATTTTTGCTCCCTCCCAGGTGCGCTGGGAGTTGGGAGGGAGCAAAAATGTGGACTGTCTGGGGGGGTCCCAGTGCTCTAACGTAACAGTGGGAGCTTCTCCTGAATATTTAGCTTCATGGCAGACATCATATGACTGAGTGGGCGAGTGGAAGATCACAGCACCAGCAGCGGGTCTCAGACAGAACTGCATAAATATTTAAGACAGCAATTAGGAAGCGTTAACGAAGACTCAGCTATGAGCTGGTGTTTGGACTGTGAGAGACCAAGATCCAATCAGCAAGCAAGTTCTGGCCTTTTAAAGCAGCCCTAATTAACCACGACATTCTGCCCCCTAGCAAAAAAAAAACATCCAGATGCAGCCTTCAGCGATTTCCTTATGGAAGCACGAAATTCCCCACAAGGTGGCGCTCACCTTTGTGCTGTCGTCATGTGACCGCTGGTACCGCTGCCAGCGACACCCGTAGATCCCAGTCAGGCATGACAAGCACAGCTGCCTCTCGTACACCTGCAAGGGTTGGTGTTTGACCATGTCTCCACGGTCCCCAGGCTCTGCGGTGCCACTAGCTTTCCATCGGGGGGGTCGATCCTGGAGCAGACAAAAAAAAAAAAAACAAAGAGGTGTGTCAACAGACTTTCAGCCCTTCAGACATTTATCCTCCACCTCCCACAAGCACTGATCCAGTTACAACAAGTTTGAAGCCGACCCCAGGAAGCACAGGGCGTGGTATGGCTCAGTGGCTTCGGCTGCCGTACCTAAGATCAGAAGGTCACTGGTTCGGATCCCACGGTAAGCTGAGTGACTTCGCTGCCGGGTCTCTGAGCAACCCCTGTAATCCCCAATTGCTGACCCTGCTTCGTGAAACGTACGGCACTTTTATTGAATCTATGTGCTAAATACATAAAGTGTGAAAAAACTAGACAGAAACCGTTCACTAACTGAATCCAGCTGCATTGTAACACACAGAGCAAAAAGCGGAACCTGAATGAAAACCGACAGTAATTACAGTGCGGATTCTTAACCCTGGAGTTATTACAATGATCATATTTCACTGCGATTCCCTTTTAATGACACTGTATTCATTTAATCTGTAGTATAATCGCAACGCTGTACTTTGTCCAATCCGTTTGTCACTCACAATGTCAACACAGATAATATACGCATTTCGATTTATCCCTCAGATCAGTTTTTTTTGCCCCAGTGGTTCAAACTGTACAATTCCTCACCCAGTCAGTACTTCATTCACACCAGTCAGCTGAAGGCTCGACATTTTCCTGCAGGCCCTACACTGCAGACAGCCCCTCCCACAGCAGACAGGAGATGCCCGTGTGCCACACAGAACAGCAGTCATTAATAGGCACGTGTATGACGAACATTAACACGTGATGTGGAAGGAAAATTAGAGGTTAATAGGGCAGGGGGAATTATTGGATTGTCATTCAGTCTTAGGCCAGAGGTAAAAAGATACTGTTGCATTATGGAATTGTTGTTCCATCTTAGGCCATAGGCAAGAAGATGCTGTTGCATTATGGGGCTGCTGTTCTGTCTTAGGTCATAGTCAAGAAGGTGCTGTTGCATTATGGGATTGTTGTTCTCTCTTGGCCTTGGGCACGAAGATGTTGTTATATTTTGGGACTTTTGCTTTGTCCTGGGCTTTAGGCCAGAAGATGATGTTCACCTATGAGAACACTGCATTCCTGGCTGCTAAAACCACTCCTGGATCTCCAACTAACCTGGAGAAGAGCACGTGGCAGCGGGGAATGAAACGAAGGTATGTGAAGCGTGCTACAGGAGAGCCAGGAGACAGGAAGAGACAGAGAGCAGCACCCACGCCCCAACAACGCCCCCAAATGGAATCACGTGCATCAAAATTCCTGGCGCCTTGGCACTAGAAACCATCTTGGCGCGGACACTCTGTTTCTGTTCCCACCATTAAAAACTCACAGTTTTAATTTACAACCTAACAAAGTATCAGGATATAAAACATCAGATGATCCACTCTTACCTTCATTTTGCGGTCTACAGTCGTGTTAAAGCCCACGTATGATTTGGCCAACCCGAAACAGCAGAAGGAGGTTGGCAAAGCACAAGTTTAAAACTATTAATTCAGACCAAAAACAAAGGATTTCATTTCACTAAGTGTCCATCTGCTGACACACAGCAACCCCAGCGAGAATCCCCCCCACCCCCTGCCGAGGGGAGGGGGCCTTATTAGAGCTGACTCAGGCAACGCAATCCTGGACAGTGTCAGAGGGCTTGTTTGCTTAAGAGCTCTTGGGATCCGAACCCAGGATGTTCTGGGAATGTCAAAAGCCTTGAGCTTGAACTCAACAGTAATACTCAGAGCTCGTGATAGGCTCGGGGGCCCAGTTATTTCAGATGGGGGGGGGCAGTGGTCACTGGGGGGGGGCTGCCACCCCCACCTCAGATTCAGTTTCAGGCTTGCTAGTCTTTTGCGCCCCCCCATCAACAAAACACTGGTTATTATCTCATCTCCCTCAGCATGTTCTCCTCCAAAGATAATGTTTTCCTTTCAACCCGCCAGCATCTCCTCCTCTTGGTCCAACAGGCCGTGTGAGTCGTGTTCAGCAGATACCCGCATCTGGCACCATATGCGCTCTCTAGTCGTCGTCCCCCCCCCCCCCCCCACCCCCGAACAGCTGAACACTTCACTGGAGTGCTTCCTGTTAAGCACCTTACTGAAGGGCCCTACGGCAGCGACCCTCAAACAGGCATTCGGCAGTGATGATTACAGCCCATGAGGGCTCCGATTGGAGGATTCAGAAACCACCTGAGAAGCCCAGCCAATCAGATGCCACCCCCCTGAAAGATTCCCCCAGATCTTTAAACCCTCATGTTCCTACATTTATAAGCCGCCACAGACGCCAGTAACGGGTTGTGTGGGGGGAGGGATTCCGCACTCTGCTACAGAGGACGAGACATTACGAAGCAGGTCCCACCCTAACGAGCTCTTGTGACCATTTTTAATGAACCACTGATGCGCCGCACAGAAACACAATTTTAAGCGGCTCAGCTAATTGTCACTTGGCACACTCCTCATCCTCGGGGGGGGGGGGGGGGGGGCACAGGCAGTAATGCAGGTACTAGCGTCATTCAGAAGTATAATTAGGTTGCAGCTCTAATCAACATTTAGTGAATTTATCTCAGCAGATTTATCTTGATAGGCCCCAGAAGATTGGGATTTCACCAATTCTACCTTGAGAAGATGGAGTTCCTAACCTGACCATATTAATCAGGATTTAAGCTACAGGCCAGAATAGGTACTCAAAAGCCATTGCTTCCCAGTCAGGGAGGCAATGGAGGAGCTCTGGGACCAGGCACGGGCTTCCTGAGAGTTCAGCAGTCCGCCATCATCTCCAGATCCATCCCGTGACTCCACCTACGGCAGGTTCGCCGATCACATTTCGGCTAAAAATACCACAGGGAGATCCATCTTTGCGTCGCGCTTATTTTTAGCCCTGCAGACACTGACGGGAAATTAAATACAAAGGAAAGTTGCTGAAAGCGCCCAGATTGGCTCAGTTTTCAGAAACGCCGCTCAGAACGCCATAAAGTCCTTGCCTCCATTAACAGGCAATATCAACAGTATTAAAAATGTTTAAACATCTGGGCTTTGAAGGTAACAGGAAGCGTAAATTAAAGTACTAAACCCCAAGGGCAATAAGGCCGGCAATGTTAATTAGCCCCGACAGAAGGACGTGAGATTAATCCACTGTTTGTTTCATATCCATAACAGCAAGACTGGTTAAGCAGCTCAATCCACTCGTAATCCTTATGGCAACTAGTTACCTGGAATGTTACACGGGACGGACCATGAGCCAAACCTTCGGTAGTACTGCTCACCCAAGAAAAGCCCCCAACACATCCTGTACCCTCATCGGCTGGGAGGACTGGTGGAACTGGGAGCCAGGTTCTCCCACTGGACGCCTACCTCAGCAAACTGGTCTCAAAACCCTTCACAGAAACCACAATCACAGACTGTGGGCTACGTGCCAGCACTTGTACAATCCTGAGGAAGCCAGAGTGACGCGGCTGTCTCTGTGAGAGGTTTGCAAACACTCAGCCATCGAGGGGAGCTCATCATAAACTGTCTCCCGCCCTAGCAACCCCGGTAAGGGTCTTTGCAGCCACCCCCAGCAGCTCTCCGCTTCCACGGAGACGGTTTCCGTGCTGCGACACCGGCTCGCAGATATGCAGCCGGCTGTCCTGATCAGCCATGATTAGTGTATGGCTCTGTGTGGTGGTTTCCATGACGCCGAGGCCCCCATCGTTTCAGGATTAGTGTGGCGATAGATGTGGGGGGGGGGTGGCCAAGGAGGACCGCTTGCTATTAAGCTAGCAGCACCATCCATCCAAGGTAACCATGGAGGTACCCTGCAAACAAGAGGACAGGGCCCGGGGGGGGGACCCTGCAAACAAGGGGGCGGGGGTCACGTCCTCGATAAGGCCAAATTTTCAAAATGGCTAACAGTAAATCTAAAACATATAAAGGACTAGATTAATCCCTGCTAAACAACAACATGTTCAAGCTACGCATAACTCAAGCAATACGTCATCTGTACAAAGACCTATCCCGCCTTCAGAACAAGTCCTGCCCCAAAAGGAAGATTCCAGAACTGTGGATCATACACAATGTATGGTAATGTATAGCTACTTGCATACCTGCTTTCATCTTGTTCTATGTCTGACAATAATGACTGACTCAATGTGGTATTAGCAGCGGGCTAAGGTAGTGCTGTAGTTCTCGAGAGCGGTCTTGGATCCGTGGAAACGGATCCTCAAACCACACTGTCGTTTAGCGGAATACGGGACTGCAGCAGCAGCACGCCTAAAAACGCGGTCCATCGCCAGCAAGGAGGCAACGGGAATAATTGCGACCCCATTAGCAGACAGATAGAACAGCAGGGTAATTACGACAGGTTATTTCAGAGGCGGTAGGGACACTCTGAAGACCAGACAGAACAGAATGATCTGAACCAGAACCGCGTATCCGGCGTAACAACCTGAGAACGAGAGAAGCTCTTGATAGGCTATTCAAACCGAGAGATAAACACCTCCGTGGAGATCGGTGCGGACCCAAAATTTATAGAGAAAAACAAACTAATTAGACTGGACATGAAAAATGGAGGTCGCTCCAGTCGATATTCTGGAAGCACACATTTTCACGCAAAACAAAAGATGACATTTCCCCATGACGGTCTCAAGCACCGCTATCTGTAAATGTCAAAAACCAATCAATCCTCGCAGGGCTAAACCCAATGCAGCCGAACAAAGCCAAAGAGTACTTAGGCCTATAGCCTATGCCAATTTGTGCGAAAACTGCGGTGAAATCTGTTTTTTTTTTCTCCCTCAAACAAGCACTGCCTTTAACCCATTTAGCAGATGCACCTAAGAGCCGGTAGTGTTAATTTAGAGAGCGAGAAACATATAATTAATTAAAGGGGCAGAACGCATTTCCGACACCCCGCAACCCCCGCACTCAGCCGTACGGACAGCAGGGGGCGTGCACTGACGCAGATACACGAGAGTCAGCTCAAATCACACCGAAAGCTACCTTGGGGCCACAGGGCCAGAACGGTTCACTTCTACCACACTGTAACAGGGTTGCCAACTTTGGTCAGCTGGCTGGCGTAAGATTTTCAGTTCTAGACAAGTCTGCACACGAATTTACATAAATGTAAGTGTTTTATTGCCTTATAAATAGTTGAAACAGTAGCCTGTAGAGTTTGCAGACTACCCCAACGCCTTTGACGTAGCTAATTTTGGGTTTATAATGGAATAATATAGAGTTGCCGTATTATTTTTTTGAGTGGAAGTATGAAAGCGTGAGTGTCACGCCAGATGGGTGAGAACTGGCAACCCGGCCGTAAATTTCCAGGATTCATTGCACCGGCTAATAAATACCTACCCACACAGAGACCCCCCCCCCCCAAAACCCAGAGCCAGGACACACATATGTTCCAGAATTAGCACTCAGGGCTTCAAAACTTTATCTTCTTTTCCGTTTTTGCTTATTGACTCGATTAGTAGTATATTACTGCAAGTCAGGTGAGACCCGTCATATGTCCTGATGGGACACGTAAGAAGGCTGCTCAATTGCGCATCAGCCATATCCTTGTAACGTGCATGTTGGTTATTCAGTTTATATATTGTTGTTCAGTAAAGAAACACGGCTTGGTGCGCTTAATTCCTTAGTTAGATACTATAGAGCGACGACTAAATTATATGACATGACCCAGGCTGGCAGGGAATCCTATGAGGATCTGACGAGAATCATTTTCAAAAACGTCCTTACACTCAATCCAAGAACCGCTTTTGTTACTCAGGCACTTATCTAAAGGATCTATAAAATGTGACTGATCTATGGAAGGCTTCCCCAGAGTCATCTGCCATGGCAATAAAAATGAGCCTTCAATCCAAGTGTTAAAAATTCAGCGATCAATGGCGCTATCTTTTCCCGGGCGAAGCCGCAATCTGCGTGCGGATCCCGGCGCGGTAACCGCACACGCCGAGCTGCGGAACCTTCATCGCCGGCTCGTGTTACGCAGCTTGTATTTCCAGAGATGACACCGAGCAATCAGATTAGGCTCAAGCCCATCGGAGCATCTGCAAAGGAAAGTCTCGCATTTAGACATTTTATTCGGGGGGGCGGGGGTGTAGATGGAGGACCTGGGGGTTGGGATTTCGGAGATTTACAACAGCCTAGTTTTCGGCTTAATCAATATGTTGCAACAAAGAGCCCAGCCGCACCGCGTACGAGCCAGTATCGATTTTAAACGGAGTTTCATGTTCAGCTTTGACTCGCCACATCGACAAGACCCTAACGAACCGCGCCTTATATCCATTAGAAAAGTACATATAGACAGAAAATCGGATAAATGACACCGTAATCTGCTATCATTTTGAGTTTCAACTGAGATTTAATCACCACGTTTTATTTTATTGGACGACATGAATTTGTCATAATTTTTTATTTTATTTTTTTTTTTGGGGGGGGGGATTCCTGTTGTACAACTGCCACATCTGTGAAAAGCAGAGAGAAAAAAACAAGTGGATCCTATGTTTAGGCTGTTCACCTGCAGTATCTATTGCCATGTATAAAACAAGTAAACCGTGATTCTTAAATAGCCTATATACAGCCTTTACTATGACGATCAAGATACGAAATACTTCTGAAAACCGCTCTCTGCCGAACAGTTTTGGACGCGCCTACTGTTTTTGCGATGCCTCATACACCACTAAACTATTATTCATAGGTGAAAGAAACTGAATCACTCTCTGTTATACA